CGCCCCCGCAGGCCTTGCCACCCACCCTACCTGGGGCCAGGCTCCAAGCCCCACCTAGCCTCTGAGTGAAACTGCAGGTCACAGTCTGGTGGCTCAGCCTACTCAGGTCTGGCTGGCTGTGCTGGTCTGGGCAATTCTCTGCTTCTCTGGAAAAATTGGAAGATCCAAAAGCTCTTGTCCCACATTACTCGATGGCCCCCTGAGCCTGGACAGGTGCTCTCCTGATCACTGCGAGTCCCCACCAGCCCCTTTCGGCTCACACTCACCTGCTTCCCTTACCTGAATTGCCTTCACAGCCCCACAGGCATCTGAGTTTGCACCCCTGAGACAGAGGCTGGTAATGAATGAGAGGAGCAGGAAGGGATGGGGTGACAGTGCTGTGGGGCCCAGAGCCGGGGGGACTCTGCCCCCTGGGAATCAGGCCCCAGCCACCTGGGCATGTGGAGGGCTCTCCCGGAGCTCTGGGACTCTAGCCTCTGGCGTCCAGTCGGCCGTAGGCCAGGCCGGGGTCTGGGGAGGCAGGCGGGGCCTCTGTCTAAATGGGTCATGTGTCCCTGTGTGCCTTGGGCATTCATGACACACCACTTCCAGGCTCCCAGCGTCTGGGAAACTGCTCCACTCACAGCCTTCGGCAGCCATATTTTGTGGTAACAACAACAAAAATACTAATGGCCAATACATACTGAGCCCTCATCCCGTACCAGATGCTCTGCGGCTTTCATCACTGAAGGCGCGTATCAGTGGTAGACACTGAGACCTTATGTGGTGGGCACCCTTTCCCCAGCATGTTGGTGATGGAGAACAATGGCCCTGGGGCCGCCAGCCGCAGCTCAAGTCCTACACCTCCTGGCCGTGTGACTGGGCTTCCTATGGCTTCCCCGCTCGGCAGGATGAAAGCAGCTCCGGCTTCACAGAGGTGCTCCGGGCACCCTAAGAGCGGCTTCCAGGAGGGGAGATGCACTCGCTAAGCTCTGTGATTACTCTCATCTGGCAGGTGTGCAAACAGGCTTGCATAGTAAGAGAACGACCGGGGGGCTGAGAAGTGACTCCGGGCTGCCCAGCTCCGGGCCCAGGCTCCTCACCAGAGCAACAAAGCACTCCCCCGCCCGGCCCTGCGCAGCTTCCAGGACACCCTCCCACCCTCAGCCACTTGGTCCTCAAGGGCGCTGGCCTTCGATGGAGAGCACTCCCTCATCCCTCCTCTGCCAACTCTTGCCCCTGTCCTGTTTCTTCTTCGCTCCATCCCCTGCCTCCTCTCCCACCCTGCCTGCACCCCTCACCCCCACCCCACACGTTCATCCCGGAACTTCCCAGGGAGAGCCAGGAGGAGATAAGGAAGGGGGCTTGGGGCACAGACTCGGCACCGTAGCCTCATGCCGTGGAACTACTCCCATGCGGAGGCCCCTTCCCGCCGGAGTCCCAGAGCCTCTCCCTCCCCCATGTCCTGGCCAGTCCTGGCAGCTACCCACTCCCCTGCCAAGCCTCTGGCCACCGGCCCAGCTGCCAGCCTCTCCTAAGGCAGAGGCTCAGACAGTGTCAGTCCAGGATGAACAGTGGCCCAAGTGGCAGTTACCGGGGTAGTGGGGGCTGGGCCATGCGGGGAAGGGCAGAGGTCCCCACGCTGTGATTTCTTGTCTGTCCATGCAGTAAATCCCCACTTGGAGGAGATTGGTTTTTCCTCATGACTGATGGTCCTTGGCTGGGCTGAGTTTGTCCTCAATCCCACAGTCGGCCACCCACCAGTGCAGTGGCGCGATTTGTTCTCTCTGCCCCACAGGCCCCGGGCAGAGGGGCAAGCAGAGCTGGGCTCCTGCCCCCAAGCTATGCGCTCCCAGCTTTGTCTCCCATGGTTTGGGGCAGGAGCTTTGCTGATTCATCCACACCAGGGCACCTTCTCCTGATTTCCACCAAGGCCCAAACAGGAGTCTCAGTGAAAGCCCGGCCCAGGCTCCCCTCACACCCCTCACTTGTCTCCAAGCCACATCGGTGCCACTTCTCTCCATCCTCAGTGCCACCACCGCCTAAGCCCCTGAGACCTACCACGGCTCCCTCTCTAGCTGCCTTGCCTCTTCCCCGCACCTCGTCTCCCGGGCCTTCTCCACACACGAGCGGGACAGCATTCGAAAGTGTAGAGCTGATGGTGTCCCACCTCTTAGAACCCTCCTACCAATGGCTCCCTGTGGCCTTCCAGGTGAAAGACAAACTCCTTGTCATAACCCACCAGGCCCTACACACTCTGACTCCAGATGACCACTCAGCAATAGACCCGTGCCCTCGCCCCAAGCTCCAAGCACTTTGTCCTGCCATAGTGCCGCGCACGACCACACTGCATTCCTCTCACCCCCAGGGCCTCTGCACACGCTGTGACTTACACCCACACACACCTCCATCTCCTTCCTCATCCTTCTGTGCCTGCGTCAATGGTCCTTTCTCTGAGACACCCGCCTTCATCCCTCCAATTTAAATTGTCTTTCTTTCGTTCACCTCTGTAGCAGTGTTCACACTCCGAAGTGACGTTTTTGTGGTTAGAATGAACTCCGCAGACCCAGATGCTCTCCATCCTCACTTCCTCCCGAGCAAGGGGTCAGCACCCTGGTGCGGCAGCTCCGCCGGGTAGATGAGCCTCCCAGCATGGCCATCCTGAAGCCCGGCTGCTGCAGACGGATGCCCATGAATCAAGTTGACGTTTCCATTACCAGAGGCCGTGATGGGCCGGCTCCGGTGCGGGCGGCGGGATGACAGCTCATGGCAGCCACCAGCTGAGGGCAGACATTAGGCCGCCTGAGGACTGGGCCTGCCCATCAGCCCTCAGCCTGGGGCAGGACTGTGGCCCTGAGGACCCTCTGCATCTGGGGCGATGGGGGCTGACCTTGGTGAGCGAGGGAGCAGAGCCCCATTTCAGAACACCGAGCATGTGCAGACACGTGTGCAGGGCACGTATGTGTCCAGGGCCAGCACACACACACACGGATGTGTGTACAGGGCCAGCAACACCACACAAGCATGAGCGCTGAGGATACTCGTTAGCTCATGTGCACGTACAAGGTGCTACCCCAGGCTTACATAATGTCCGGGTTGGCACGTGCACGCAACGCCCAGGGCGTGTGCATATAGGGACTCTGGGCACGAGTGCCGAGAGCAGAACAAAGTGCGTGAGGACTACCCTGGGCTGTGCATCAGGCCGGCTTATGAAGGTCAAGATGAAAAGCAAACTCCCAGAGCCAACAGCCATTCGGTGGTCAGAACACGTCTGCTCAGCACGAGGTGTGGAGCCGGGACAGCTGTTTGCAGGGGCAGGAGGAGGGGGCTTTTGTTTCCCCACAAGGCTTCCGTGTGCCTGCCCAGGCCCACCCTGCCTTCATACCAGGTGGTCCTCCCACCCTCCAGATTTGGGCAGACACTGCCCTGTGCTCCCTGCAGGAAGCCAGCCTTCCCGGTAGCTCTCAGTAGGGCCCCGCTGAGATCACTCATCCAGCCTGCCCGGAAGTTCTTCCTTTTATCTAACCAGCAGCCTTCTTGCTGCAGGCTCTGTAAGACTGAATGACAACTAGCTCTCACCCCCTGCCCAGCAGGTGCCCAGGAGAGGACAGAAGGATTTGAAGCCCGAAGGGTTTATGGGCCACCCCCGCATCCCCGGCCTGTGCAGAGCGTAAGAATGGCCCCTGCTTGAGCGTCGCATACCATAATCACATAGCACTTGCACAATGATTTATTTAATGTTTTTCTTTAAGCCGACTCTTATTTCTTTTTACCTAAGTGCCTATTTTGGATTCATCCTAAGCAATAACGTCTGTGAACTTATGGCACTCATGTGCCCGTTACACATTTTTTCCCTAATACACATTTACATAAACACAACTATTAAAATAGATTAAAATTTGCCCCTGTGTCAACTAGAATCATCTCCTGGACCTCCGTGGTCCGCTCGCCGACTTCAGGAGGATGCCGGGTGAGACTAAAGAGCTCCAAGATGCCTCGTGTCCTGGGCCAGGCTCCTGTCGGGTGCATCCCTGCCCAGCCCCGTGTCTACAGTGCTGCTTCTGGTCCACACGTCAAAACCTGAACTCCTTGTCCTGAAGTCAAGGCCTTTGTACCTGGGCCCCAATTTCGCTGGCAAATTCATCTCCTGCCCCACACAATATGTCTGAAATATTTACCGAATGAATGAAAAATGGTTGATGAAGCACTAACTTGATTAATCAATGAATGATGAGCACGCACCTCCACCTGGGTGTTCCCTGGGCCCCTGAGACTCAGAACCTGTGGACGCGGCCGCCACCTGAGCCCCTTAGCTGAGAGTCATCACCAACTCTCCCTCCCTCCCACATCGGTCCACCCCCAGCCTGTTGATTTTCGCTGCTGATGAGCTTCTGGATCTGCCTTCGTTGTCCCCATCCCCAGGGCCACTTTGCTGAACCAGACCAGCTCTTCTCTCCCTTAAAGCATGGTCAGGATGAGGAAGGGGGCCGGGGCTCCCACATCTGGCCTCTGCCCACAGCTTCCGTGACTTGCCCAGATGCACAGCTGGGTGCTTCCCACGCCTCTCTGCCCAAAGCATCCCAGCTGCAGGACAAAGGGGGCTTCGGACACCTCCGGCCTGGCACCACTGGTCCCTGCAGGCTGCTTTCTCACCACCCTGCTGCCCTCCCTTCTCTCCACACCAGCCACCTAGACGGTCTTAAAGTTCCTACAATGTCCCTAACTGTCTTGCCCTCTACACTCTTGCCTGCCTGACATCTAGACAACCTTCATGTCTTCACTTAAGTGTCATTTTCCCAAAGGACCCACCCCTCGCCACTACCCACCCCCGCGTAGATGCTGCCTTGGGCCCCACAGCCCCCCACTTCCCCTCATCGCCGTGACAGAAACACCGACGAGGCATTTAATCTGTGCCAGGTTCAGTTCTAAATGTTTCACACACATCAACTCATTTAACCCTCAGAACAGCTTTAAGAGGTAGGTATAATGATCATCCCCATGGGCACATGGGGACGAGGCACAGAGAGGTCAGGTAACTTGCCCAAGCTCTCAAGTGGGAGGGGCTGGAATCTGAACCCAGGCTACACGGCCCAGAGCTGGACACCGCAGCACTTCACACACTGAATTATAATCTTCTGTCCGGTTGTCTATCTTGCCTATCCCTGAGCTCTGCGAGGATAGACACCCTCTCTGGGTGGATCAGTATCTTATTCCAAGTGCCTACCACAGTGCCTGGCCCATAGTAGGGACACAATAGATTATATCATTGGGTAGATGGATACACAGAAGGATGGTTGAATAATGAGCATGGGTGATGCATGAAAGGATGATGGATGGATGTCTGACACAAGGAAATTTGACAACTGATGGGTGAATGATGGATGGATAATGAATAGATGATAGATGGGTGATAAATGGATGGATGAAGGATGGATGGATGGATGGATGGATGGATGTATAGATGGTTGGATAATGGATGGATGAGTGGATGATTGACGAATGATTGATGGATAGATGATGGATGGATGATGGATGACGGACAGGTGATGGATGGATGGATAAATGGATAATGGATTTACGGAGGAGTGAAAAAGAATATTCACACGACTGCTCACACATTCACCCCCTCCACACCAAGCTCTAGAAATCCTTCTGGGAAGGGATGGAGCCTCTCTCGGAGTCAGGAGTCCTGGTTTAAACTCCAACTCTGTCACTTGCTAGCTCTGATCTTGGGGGCAAGTTTCTTCATCTCTGTGATCCTAAGTTCCCTCATCTTTATAATAGGAATCTCTTTTCCTAGGCATCTAAGCCCGAGGATTTAATGTAAAGGTGGCTCTAGACACAGGGTAAAGTATCCCCATGGCGGTCGGGGTGACTTGGGGTCTGGGTGTAAGGGCTTCTCTCTTGTTACCCTACATTTCCTGTCTGCCTGGCACTCCCACCTCGCCCACCTTCTGGAATCCAAGGCAGCCGCCAGTCTGGCTCCATCCTGACCCCCAAACCCAGCCTGGCTTTCGGCTTCGTCCCTCCCACACTTCAGTGTCTGGCCCTGACCCCAGCACGCTCAGGGCTGTCTCACCTTCAGGTTCCTCGAGGACCCCGTAGGAGGGGGCCATAACGGGGCAGCCACAGCCAGAGAGCAACTGGCCTCCACACACAGCAAGAAAACAGGTTCAACAAGCATTTATTGAGCCCTGCTGTGTGCCTGCTGTGTGGCCCCCTGTGGTGTCAGTGCCACTGCCCCTCCATAGCTCTGCAAGGCTGGGCTCCTCCTGAACTTTCCAGCTGGCTCAGAGGTCCCCAGGCTTTCAGTGGCCGATGTCCAAGTTTTTCCTGGCATCCCAGCTGCCATCTGAGAGGGCTCCGCGTGTGATGGGGGCAAGAATCAGGAGTTGTTTTCCCAAAGTCGCTCCGGGTAGCCCTGTGTATTCCCACAGGCCACGCCAGCCCCATCGCCAGGACCCTGAGACCCAGGCAGCAGTGGACAGGGCAGGCCCGGTGTCTCCCACGCAGGCCGGCTGAGTTCAGGGCATCCAGGCCAGGTTTCCACAGCTGCCTGACCAGTGGTCTTGTGTCGGGGGCTGGTGCCAACGACAGCCTGAGGCCCGGGGGCAGATCGGGCCTCAGTCACACCCAGTGCCCGAGGACCCAGCACTGGCGATTCAGCTCTGGAGCCTCCTGTGCAGAGCTTCGGGGCCAGGAGTCTCCCACGTGTGGCTGGTGTCCTGCCAAGAGACAAGGTGGTCAGTGCCGACAGCTGCCTTCCTTCACCCACACCCCATCTGCCCACTGCCTCGCCAGCTCACTCCCACCCCCCACCTGCCCACACATCCATTACCCACTCCTACTTGGCAGGCCTTCCACCTACCTACCCTCCAGCACTCCTACCCACTCATCTACCAGCCCACAACCAGCTCGCGACCCACTGTCCCACTCACCGGCTCCCCATCCAGCTGCCTGCACACCCACCTTCCCATGCCACCCTACGCCCCATCTACCTACCAGTTCCCCAACTCCTAGACATACATCTGCCAGCATCTGCTGCATCCACGTAACACCCGCCAATATATCCACCATTCTACTCGCATATTCTTCCCACCCACAACCACCCACAGCCCTAAAACCCACTCATGCACCTGCCATCTGCCAGCACTCCAGCACACCCACCATCACGCCATCCGTACACCCACCAGCCCAGCTTCCCGCACGCACGCCCACCTGCGACAAACCACATACCCACCCTCCCACCCACCCTCCAACTCACTCGCCTTCTCATCTACTTCCCAAACTGCGGACATATCCGCTAACCCATCAAGTCCCCAACCCCCGTGCACACATCCACCAACCTTCCATCCTCCTGCCCCTACTCACCAACATACCCATCCAACAAACCACCACCTGCCCACACACTCACTCACCCACTCAGGCAATCGACCCACCCCCTTCCCATCTCCCCATTCCTTTCACCTACCTACACCCCTCAGTGAACCAACCAATCCCTCCCCTGCCCACTCATCTACTCACCCACCGGCCCGGGCATCCTGCAACCTACCTATCCACCTACCTATCCGCCCACCCCGTCAGGTTCCCCCAAGCTCCACTGTGTGCCTCCACGTGCTAAGGAGCTGTGGGAGGGTTAGGAGGACAAGTGTGGACGATCCTTGGGCCTTGATCCTTACTTGACCCCAGGGACAGTGAGTGCCTGCGAGGGTGTGCCCCAAGCTGACTCTGAGCAGCGCCCTGGGCCGAGGCAGTGGGCAGAGACTTCACGACTTCCCCACCACTGGCCGCTGCTCTTGGTGGCTGGGCACACTGCAGGGCTGGAGGGCTGGTCCTGACACAACACGCGCACCGTGCTCTCCTTGGTTCCTGAAGGCTCGCTCCCTGCCTTTGCACAAGCGCCTCCTTGGCATCTTTCTAACACACCAGAACCATTTCCATGTCCACCCAGTGACCAGCCTAAAATGTCCTTGTGCCTACTGTGAATCGAACGAACACTCCAAGCCTGACTCAAGTCTCTCTTCCCACGTGAAGCCCCCTGGCATCCTCTCCCCAGCCCTCGGGGTCTCCTCCACCTTGGAGCGCACACCTCAGTGGCTTCCCCAGCTTCACCCCAGGAGAGCGATGGCTCAACCCAGGCAGTGCGGTCCGCAGTGCACCGATGGAGGTGGACCAGAGAGGGGAGGCAAAGGGCGGGGAGACTGGCGTGGTGGGCACCAGCGGGCAAGGGAGGATTAACAGTGACCGAGCGCTCACGGCCAGTACACCCGCTACGTTCTCGGCTCACAAGCCTGGGAGGCAGCCACCCCCATCTCGCAGACAGCAGAACTGAGACTCGGCAGGGATAAGCCGCCACCTTAGGGTTCACAGTTGTAGAGGAGCTGGATCAAATCAATTTCTTCTTGATTCCAAACTTCCATGTTAAATTTGTTCCATGTTGTTTCTTTTCCTACTGAGCTCTAACAGATGCTCAGACATTCTAGTCATCCTTTAGGGTCAGACGGGCTCTTTAGAGCAAACCCCTTAAGGTGGGAATTCCTGCGGAAGCCAAGCTCCTGCTTGCATGCCCCCAAGGACAGACTGCTCATTACCCTTCCTGCACCCCCCAAGCAGCTCTGACTGTTGGGAGATTCCGCCTCATATCAAAGGCTGGATGGCAACAGGCAAAAATGAAGACGGTTGTGCCAATGGTGGGGACAGCGAGAGGCGTGTTTTTATTTTTCTTGCTCTGGCTTTTTTCTGTTTTTAATATTCTCTAATGATGGTTGGTGCTTTGCTAATTTTACTCTATTTTCTGAAGGGGTGAGAAACACTTGGCAAACATTCTGGAATCGTTTGCCCTCAGGAAAAACATTTGTTTCGGCCCCAGTCACTGAAACCGCTGCATTCTTTGGGGTGCTTGCTGCCAAGTTATAGGTGTTTGGATTTTTTTTTTCTTTAATCTAGAAGCAAATATTTAGTGCACAGAAAGGTACGATTATTTTTCTAAAGGAGTATTTAGAAGGGGTCGTAGCTGCTCATACTGTCACCAACAGGGAGAACTTTGGAGAGTTCATTGCAACGAAGACAAAATGATCACGTATTTTTAAGAAACAAGAAAGACCATGATCCCTATATTTCCTTGAGGTAAAATCTCGCTCTGTCCCCTGGGTCTGGAGGCCAAGTCACTAAGGACTGGGGGCCTCGTCCCCTCTCTTCTCCAGGGAGAGGCTTGGGGCTGAGAGCCATTTACGGTGGAGGTGGGGGGAGCTCTCTCTGTCCTCACCACACCTGAGGAGCCCCCGCCAGCCCACCGGGACCCCTCACACACTTCTCTCCTTCCTGTCCCTTTACTTTGGGGCCAGTCACCAACCAGAAAAAATATATACATATATGCCTTATGCTGTGGATTGCGGAATCCCACTTCAAAACACCTCCTGGGCCTAAGCAATGGGTGAAGGGGTGGAACAGGCGGAAGCAGCCATTCATCAGCCTGCTGATTGTTGCTGTGGGGAATGTGGGCTGAGAACTCCCAGAAAGTTCAGAGAAACCGAAAATTAGGATTTCAAAGTAAAATCTCCTGGCTTTTAAATGATGACAAACAACAAAGGTTTTTAAAGCCTTTTAAACCATCCGTGGGCCAAGTAGCATCCTTCAGGTCGTACTCAGCGCACTGGAAGTCATTTCTGACTTCTTCCTGTTTCCCAAAGACCGGGTCTTTGTTCCATGAGTTTCTTCTGGCTTCACATATTCTGGATCTTGGCCAGGGTGACCCTCCCCGCTGCTGTCTCTGGCTGTTGAGTCTCCCACCTCTCTTTTGAATGCCCCCTCCTCTGTGTCCCGTACCATGCTACACATCCCTCTGCCCTGTCCTTGTAACTTTGTGTCGCGGGGGGTCTCCCTAACTAACCTGGGGACTCACCACAGGCAGAGAGTGGGTCAGCTTCGTCCTGGCGCCCTTGGCCCCAGCAGCTGGGAGCATGGGGCGAGTCCCGAACTGACTTTACAAGTGAGGAAGGCATGCGGGAGGAGGATGGAGTGATTCCCGGGCTGGAGGGTAAGCTGCATCTGTCTTTCCTAGTCTGAGATTCTGTACACTACAGGAGGCTTTTTGTTCAGCCTCTCCTCCTCTGGGGGAAAATAAAAACTGGACTTGGAGTCTAAGAGTCAAAGGTTCAAATCTAGGCTCCCTCATTCACAAACTGTGTGAACTTTTTTTAAGCTGTGTGACTTTCGACAGGTAACTTCGCCTCTCTGAGACTGCAAGTAGATGTGAGTTACAAAGAAGTCGGTAGCCCTCCACCCCTGCATAGAAACCCTTCATTATCCAGTTTCAGATAGATGTAAAAATAAAATGCCAGAACTAGTGGAAGTTGGGATCAACTGCCTCCTCACGGATGGAGAAGCCAAGGTCCGCAGTGGGAAATGATTTGTCCAAGGCCCCCACTCAGAGGAGGGTTGGTAGCAAGTACTGTGTTTTAAATTCCCTTGAAACCTCCCGGGCTCAGAAGAGTACTCAGCACATGGGAGGTTTTCCCATGTGGTTTCTCCTCTCTTTTTTAATCCAAATATCAAAACGTGAACAAATTTAACATCAGTCTCTTCCAGTCCCGACTTCCCAATCCTTCAGTGAGAAATCACTGTCTCGAACTCTCTCCAAGGCACCAAGATCCCGGGGTGGGCAGGGGTCAGCTCTCAGCTCTGCTGAATTGAATGAATTTACATCCAAAATGGATCCACTCTGTTGGGGCCAGGGGGAGGGGGAGAGGGGGGAAGACTTCAAGACCAAGAATGCCAATGCAGATGGGGAAAACGGGGCTCTCAGAGGGGAGGTCAAGGTGCTCAGAAGCTGGTAGAGGAATTTGTGAGGGTGGACAGGCCTCGGGAGTGGGCAGGTGGCTGGCACTGCTGCTCTGGACCCCACAGCAGCCCCGCCTGGCACGAAAGAGCCACATCCTTTTACAAGAAAGTGCCTACGTGAGGTGCTGAAGGCCTCTCTCTCTCGGACTCGTGGCCCATCAAGGTCTGGCTGCCCAACCTTGAACCCTGCCCTCTAAAAGGAGCTGGGACGTGGGGAGTGATGGAGGAATGAATCAAGGCTAGCACTGGGCTTTGGAGACCTTTCAGCTGGTGACAACATCATCCCTCTTCTGCTGCCTAAAATGTCACAGCCTTGGCAAGGGCACCCTGACTGCCTCTCCACGTCGACCCCGCTCTGTAAATCTGTACCCCGAGGGGGCTCAGAGACGCCATTATATTTGGTAATATCCGTTTACTTGTTTCCTCCCAGCTTCTATTCTAGGCTGTGTGTAGCATGAGGACACAGACTGGCTCTGCTTCTATTCGTCTCTGGTCCCCAGCACCCTAGCAGGCGCAATGTTGACAGTATAGATGTGTTGAATGAATAAATGATGGGGGAGTTGGGAAGAAGAGCAAGTTTCTGTGGGATCCAAGTGGAGAGAAAGATTGGGTTTTCTGGTCTTCCTTGGGGAAAAGTTGTCTTAGGAGATCAAGTGGGGGCTCCATCTTTCTTGTCACTGGAGTCCATCTTTTGGGATCCCATGTTTCTGGGCTAAAACATTCTCTTCATCTCTTTCTCACACTTGAAATTGGGCTGAATCCACTTAACCCACCACCGGTCCCAGAGCCACTGATTTCTTCATTCCCTTATTAAACGTTTGTTGAGCGCCTGATGTGTGTCAGCCTTCGTACTGGGTGCTGGTCGACGGACGTGAGTGAGACACAG